TTGACATAGTTACTTTTTGCTGATGATACTGTGCTTATGGGAGATTCTAAAGAAAAATTGCAAAGGTTAGTGGACGAGTTTGGGAGTGTGTGTAAAGGTAGAAAGTTGAAAGTGAACATAGAAAAGAGTAAGGTGATGAGGGTATCAAATGATTTAGATAAAGAAAAATTAGATATCGAATTGGGGAGGAGGAGTATGGAAGAAGTGAATGTTTTCAGATACTTGGGAGTTGACGTGTCAGCAGATGGATTTATGAAGGATGAGGTTACTCACAGAACTGATGAGGGAAAAAAGGTGAGTGGTGCACTGAGGTATATGTGGAGACAAAAAATGTTATCTATGGAGGCAAAGAAGGGAATGTATGAAAGTATAGTAGTACCAACACTATTATATGGGTGTGAAGCTTGGGTTGTGAATGCAGCAGCGAGGAGGTGGTTGGAGGCAGTGGAGATGTCCTGTCTAAGGGCAATGTGTGGTGTAAATATTATGCAGAAAATTCGGAGTGTGGAAATTAGGAGAAGGTGTGGAGTTAATAAAAGTATTTGTCAGAGCTGAAGAGTGGTTGTTGAGGTGGTTTGGTCATTTAGAGAGAATGGATCAAAGTGGAATGACATGGAGAACATTTAACCCTTTGAGGGTCGACAGGCCCTCTGCGAAACTCGTTCTCAGGGTCGGCCAAATTTAAAAAAAAAAAAAAATTATTTTCTCTTATGAAAAGATAGAGAATCTTTTCCCGATCATAAAGACACCAAAAGTTTGAAATTTGATAGAAAACTTACGGAATTATGCTCTCGCAAAGTTAGCGGTCTTTGGCGATGTTTACGCATCGGCGATTTTGCCCACTTTGAGCCCCATTTTCGGCCAATTTCACTGTACTAGTCGACAAAAAACATGAATATTTCGATAGAACTCCATTTTTTCTATCGAATGGGTGCAAGAAACCACTCATTTATGGAATTCTACTATCCAGTACAGTGGTCAGAATTTAGCAATTTTGCCAATTTCACACAAATTTCAAAAGATGCCAATTTCCGAATAGGGTCCAGAATAAACAAGAAAGACATTCCTGGCACTAAAATGACATTTCCTCTAGTCATTAGTCATGTCTCAAGGCCCCTCTTATATTCTTTTGCTTTCCACTTTGAATTTTTATTTTCACAAAAAATATAAGATTTACTGTTATGCAGACTACTGCATTAGTGTAAAAAATGGTATAAATATTATTGGTGCACTTGTGAAAGAATATTAGACTCACCAGTTGACGTGTATTGCACGCTTGTAATGATTTGTTTACTTTTGAAGTTTGGTAAAAATCGAACATTTCTGCTACTTTGAGCTCAATTTCAAGGCACCTTTCTTTGTAAAACCAGTCAAAATCATCTCAATTTCTGTAATATGTATTCCATTCTATAAAATGAGACCAAGAAAACTAGAATACAACAATAAATACCATACGAAAATACACTGCAAAGTCGCTGATTTATTAAAAAAAAATGGTAAAAGTTTTTTTTTTCTCATTATGCACTGTGTGCTGCAGGATTTTTTTTAGACTGTGCACACTGACCACATAGACCCATTCTTTCATATGAAGGCCTACCAGTTTTCTCCCACTAGATTTGAGGCCGCTAGAATTTATGAGTACTAGTACGTCAAAAACCCCTACGCGTAAGACGTACTAGTACGACGAAAACCCTCAAAGGGTTAAATCTGTTGGGGAAGGAAGGCGGGGTATGGGTCGTCCTCGAAAAGGTTGGAAGGAAGGGGCAAGGGAGGTTTTGTGGGCGAGGGGCTTGGACTTCCAGCAGGCATGCATGAGCGTGTTCGATAGGAGTGAATGGAGACGAATGGTATTTGGGACCTGACGATCTGTTGGAGTGTGAGCAGGGTAATATTTAGTGAAGGGATTCAGGGAAACCGGTTATTTTTATATAGCCGGACTTGAGTCCTGGAAACGGGAAGTACAACACCTGCACTCTAAAGGAGGGGTTTCGGGATACTAGCAGTTTGGAGGGGTATGTTGTGTATCTTTATACGTAACAGTGGACCCCCGCATAGCGACTTTAATCCGTGCAAGAGGGCTGATTGTTATGCAAATGATCGGTATGCGAATGAATTTTCCCCAAAGAAATAATGGAAATCAAATTAATCTGTGCAAGACACCCAAAAGTATAAAAAAAATTTTTTACCACATGAAATATACATTTTCCTACACACAAAGAGAAGGATACATGCACAATAGTAGAGTAGTACATGCACAATATATATTGTGCATGTACTACTCTACTAAATGAAGAATAAATGACACTTACCTTTATTGAAGATGCAGCAATGACTGATGAGACACTGTGTCCTGGGAGTGCCTTTTCCTCCTGAGTACTGTAGGTCCTGTTTGGCATTTTCTTCCAGAACAGGCCTTATCACACTGTGTATGCCACTACGATTCTTAAATCTCTCAAACCAACCTTTGCTGGCTTTAAATTCACCAATATGAGCACTAGTTCCAGGCATTTTTCCCTGTTCACCTGGGTGTTAGTCGACTGGTGTGGGTTGCATCCTGGGAGACAAGATTAAGGACCCCAATGGAAATAAGTTAGACAGTCTTCGATGACACTGACTTTTTGGGTTATCCTGGGTGGCAAATCCTCTGGGTTAATTGTTTCTTGGTATTCTCAATAAGCCACACCAACAACGGTGCTACAGCAGCAGCAGCTGACAGTGATACAGCAGCAGCAGACGATGCTACAGCAGCAGCAGACGGTACTACAGCAGCAGCAGACAGTTACTACAGCAGCAGCAGCTGACGGTGGTACAACAGCAGCAGCAGCTGACAGTGCTACAGCAGCAGCAGACGATGCTACAGCAGCAGCAGACGATGCTAAGCGAAGCGGTACAGCAGCAGCAGACGATGCTACAGCAGCAGCAGCTGACGGTGGTACAACAGCAGCAGCAGCTGTACCACCAATAGTAGCGATGGTTGATTGGGGTTTATTATACAACCTGGCCAGCTCGGAGACACACACTCCACTTTCATACTTATCAATGATCTTTTTCTTCATCTCTATAGTAATTCTCACCCTTATTGCTGTAGGGTTGGCACTAGAAGCTTTCTTGGGGCCCATGGTCACTTTTCCAGAAAAAATCACCAAAAACACTGTAATAATACGAAATGTTCCGATTGTATGCTTGGATGTTACCGCGGAGGCTGGCTGGTAAACAATGCCACCGGCGGCACATGTGAGGCTGGCTAAGGGCGCACATTGGACGCATCTCGGACGAAGAGCGGTGAGCGGGTTTTTGGGCGGTATGCGAGGCAAAATTTTTGCGATAAAAGCGAGCGGTATGCGGATTGAACGGTATGCGATGCGTACGGTATGCGGGGGTCCACTGTATATGCTTCTAAACTGTTGTGTTCTGATAATAACTGCACATTTTAGGAATTAATGGATCGGGGAGCAATCATCAATAAAAGTTTATCACTGCACATATAAAGATGAAGCAGTAATACTGATTTTACATAAAATGTAAATAAAACAGAAGAAATCCAAAAGCTATGGTACAAAATGTCTCCCAGCAATAAGAAATTTAAATTACAAGTAGCCTACGAACACTGAAAATGCATTTTTTTGTCAACAGGGTAAGAAAGCAACTTATAAGACATGAAGAGAATGAGAAAATAGATAAACTAATAAAATAAACAGTGCAGAAAGATCACTAAAAGTATTTCTTTACAAACGGATAGGCTGCTAAAATAGGATCCAAGAGAAGGCAATACTGCACGTGTTCATGGAACTCAAACAATTACACCATACGATGAACAAATAGTTTTATTAATTCAAAACAAATTTCAGTGCCCATTTTTTTTTTTATCTTTAAGATAACCCAATAACTGAAAATTATAGAATTTTTGTTCAAAATGTACTCAATGACTTTCCTATTACCAAACAGCAAATTTCTGGAGGGGTAGGGTCATCTTAGGAAAGGATGGAGGGAGGGGGTAAAAGAGGTTGTGTGTGCATGGGGCTTGGACATACAGCAGGCATGTGTGAGCATGTTGGATAGGAGTGGAGTTGGGTAATATTTGTGAAGTGATTCAGGGAAAGCGGTTAGCTGGACTTGAGTCCTGGAAGTGAGAAGTACAATGCCTGCACTTTAAAGGAGGGGTTTAGGATATTGGCAGTTTGGAGGGATGTCTAAACTGTCGTATCTGAGCGCCTCTGTAAAGACAGTGATTATGTATGAGTGACAGTGAAAGTGTTGAATGATGATGAACGTTTTTTTCTTTGTTTTGAGGTTTTTTTCTTTCTTTTTGGGTCACCCTGCCTTGGTGGGAAATGGCCAGTGTAAAAAAAAAAAAATTAAAACACTTGAAACTTTGGAAAGTTTCCAGACATAATAAGGACAGACAGACATCAGAGAAGATGTAAAAATAGTGAATAGGTGGTGCACAGATGATGTAATAGTGATCAGGAGCTGTATAAACGAATTTTTAGGTATAATTTGAAATGTCCATATTAGCGAATCGCCGTAAAGCAATGCGCGATAAATCAGTGCCCTCCTGTATTCACAAATTCTAGTCACAAGACCTCTAAGAACATGCTGTAAAACTCATGGGTTCAGATGCACTCTAATTCAATATCTAAACTCTGAAAACTCCAATTCCTTGAGAATGCCTTGATGTATAATTTTCACCAGACAACTGATGGAGCACTTTTAAGTACTATGGAGCCCTTAAAGTTTTCCCGATATAATGAATTAAGACAACACAGCTACATGCAAATGATTTTTTTAGCACACCAGCCATTGTCCACCGAGGTAGAATTATTAAAAAAAAAAAATCACCACTTTTCCAATAACTGTCTTGCCAGAAATGAAGACAACACAAGTCAAATGATCCTCTGAATTGTAACATCTCCACTGTAATTCCCACCTTCAAGACTCAAGTCCCACTTTATGAAAATGTACATAGACAAAAGCACATCTTTAGAATTAGTGTCACCTACCAGCCGTCTTTAACTCTTTGGTCGTAAAACTCAGCCACTGACATGGATGGATGACTTGGGTACCCCATTCCAAACACATTCTTATTTATTGCATCTCTGGTGATTAGGATTGGCCTGCATAAAAAGATATCAGTTAGTACTAAACCTACGTGATACTAACGAACAAGTGTTTGAAATTGTTATAACACAGATGAAAGAATATCAATGAAGCAGAAATCAAAAAGTCTTCCACTGCTTAAATACATAAACTCTGAAAAAGAGAAGGAAAGATTACAAACTTGAAAGGAGTTGTTTTGGTGGCTACTTCTGAGCTTGGAAGCATTCCCTTCTTCTTCATGACTTCCATCTCTGACAACATCTTGTGCTCCATTATCACACTCTGCAATTCATCTAAACTGGAGAAAAAAAAGGGAGATAATTTTCTTACTTTTGGAGATAAAAAAAAATAGTAGAACAAAAAATATTGAATTAAAACAAGTCTAGTTTTAAAAAGTCTAGCAAAAGATATACTTATTTATCCAATTCAGTTGAAATGTACTAATTCAAGTGGTTAATTTTTAAAGCTGATTCTTAACCTATTAAGTTACTATTTATAAAACTAAAGCACTCAAAGTCAACACCTTAAATTTAAAAGAGTACATAAGCCCTTAAAGACTATTTTTTTTTACCTTTCATGAACAAATTTCTTAACCATAGTGATATAGTAGTTTCTTAAAGTATCCTCATCATGACCAGGGTTATCAAGGGCTTTCTTAAGCTCAGCAAGTCGATCTGCAACAGCTTTCTTCTCTTTATATCTTCGAAGTTTTTCTTCCCGCTGTCTTGCCATTACTTCGAGTTCCTACCACAAAGATAATTTCAGGTTACCTGAGGGAAAAACAGCATCTTTTGCATCTCTAGAAGTTAATGCTCTTATGACTACTATTAAATTGTACAGATAAGCTTATTACTAAGTTAGAATACAATGCAAGGAATATTTTAATTATATATTCAGAATAAGTGAGATTATCTCATTGTTTCCTACATGGTTTTCAGACAGCACAAAAATTATCCCAAAATATTTTCAGCATAAATGTAATTCAAAATGTGGAAACTAAAATTGGGGAAAAAACCTATATTTAACCCTTAAACTGTCCAAACAGATCTATGTTCATATGCATAGTGCTCCAAAAGTAGATCTACGTTTTTTTTTTGCATATTTTCAAATATAAAAAGAAATGTAGATCAAAGTTTTTTTTTTACACATTTTCAATAAAAAAAAAAAAAAAAAAAAAAAAAAAAAAAAAAAAAAAAGGTCTACGTTTTTTTACATTCTTTCAAATGTTGAAAAAATGTAGATCTACGTTTGGACAGTTTAGGGGTTAATGACATTCTGTTGCAACTAATTTTTTTTTTTGCAAGGCCTTGCAAAAATTTTCAAACGAATCTAACAAACTATTCTTTTTATTACACAAGTGTTCCACTTACTGCTTGTTTAAACTGAGAAACATTAGTAAAATGACTGCCTAAATATTTTTATAGCAAATAAATGCAACATTATACATATTAACAATGATAACCAGGAATATTTTTGAGGGAGTGAGGAGCCAAAACATATAGCCTAAATAGAGGATCAAGTATAGTATTACAAAATAATAATTTAGAAATCTTGTTAAGATTAGCTTGTATACAGTTAGTGTGGTTTATTTGTAAACTGTACAGCTCTTTAGATTCATTCTTTCCCTATCTTATTCTTCCTAACTAGGGCCGGGATGTCACTGCACCTGCTACGTCATTCCTTACAGCAAGTCTCAAAAACCTCTGGCTGAAAGCAGTGCCTGACACTCTCATACCTTAGGTGTTGGCATTCCTCTTTTTGTAGAAGCTTTATGAACTATTTTCTCTTCTGGCAGTGCATCATTATGGTCGGCTTCCTCGATCTGATCCTCAGGTAGTGAAGCATCTGTGAGCTCATACTGCTTGCAGCGCATTATGAAGTCCTTATAATAAACATTTGCTATTCGTAAAACTTCCAGTCGGTCAATGTCTGTACGCTTTTCAGAAAAGTAGCCGAGGAGAACTGGCAGCAAGAGGAACTTTATTGAGGATGTGGGAAGTTCATCGAGTGTTTCATTACTGCTAAAGACCCCAAGTTCTGATACCAACACGGTTGTCTTTATCAGTTCATCTATGCCTTCCTTAATCTTGACCTGTAAGAAAAAACTTCGTTATGCTTATCTTTGTTCCAAATATTTCATAAAAAAATCAACACTCAAGTTCTATGATAAATAAGACATGTACATAAAGTGATAGGTAAGAAGCAAAAAAGTAAACTATTAATAATATCAAAGGGGAGTGACAATATACAGCATATAAAAAATTCAGAGGAAAGAAGCAAAGCCAAAGGTAGACTGTATATAACATACAATATGTTTATAACAGTAAAAATGAAGAGTAAATTTAGTCAGGATAAATTTATAGATTTACAAATGCAAAGATTCAAGGTTCAAGTCCCAAACAGGGCAAAATGCACAAGCAAATCTTACAATTACTGCCCTTTTACCTACTATGGTAGTAGACAGACACCAAGGAATTAGTTGGCTACTGTAGGTCATATCTTAGAGGATATTACCTAAAGGCTGCAAACCATAATTCTTGGCTTTCTTAAGTTACCTGGAATATTATGTGACTCTCCAGGATTAATAAGCTAGTCACTGTCATCTTTAACTTGGGATAAATTAAAAAAAAATATTTTCAGGCTAATTTTATTAAGGAAATATGCAAATTATTTTACACTGTAGTCTATATTTATTGAAAAGTTGAGTGAACATATTATATTATTATTATTATTATAATCAAAAAGAAGCGCTAAGCCTCAAGGGCTATACAGCGCTGCAGGGTAGGGAAGGAAGCGAAGGTATTGGATGGAAGAAGGGAAGGAGGGATGATCAGTAGGTTACAGAAAACAGCGGGGCAGGGGATAGTACGGGGGTAGAGGGTAGCAAGAGGTTGAGGTAGAAAGGGCTGAAGGTATCAGAATTTGTGAAGTCAGTCAGTTGTTGTCAAAAAGTCAATGAGAGAGTCTGGATGAAAGGTGGGTCCATCAGCGAGAAGGGAAGGTAAAGAGAGAGCAGCGGAGCGAAGACGACGACGGAGGTAAATTCTGCGTGCTCGTTGATAAAGTGGGCAGTCCAACAGAATGTGGCTGACTGATAATGGAGCTTGGCAATTCTCACAGAGGAGCAGGGCGCCTCTCCATGAAATATCCACGAGCAAGACGAGTATGGCCAATGCAAAGACGGGAGAGAGTAGTCTCCCAACCTCGACACTGGTGATAAGAAGACGGCCAGTAACCTATACTTGGTTTAATAGATTGAAGTTTGTTGCCGAGCATAGTAGACCAACGGTGTTGCCAACGGGTGTGAAGGTGGGAAGATATTGCAGCAAAATAGTCCGTAAATGGAATACCTCTATATGAAACTGGTAGGTCATGTACTGCTGACCGCGCAGCAGTGTCTGCCTGTTCATTGCCCTGTACGTCAACATGACCAGGGACTCAACAAAAAACAATATCTTTATGCTTGGTAAAGATGTGGCGTAGCCAAAGTTGGATACGGAGGACTAAGGGGTGAGGTGTATCAAATTTCTGTATAGCCTGTAAAGCACTAAGGGAGTCTGAGACAACCACAAATGATGACACAGGCATAGATGCAATACGGATAAGTGCTGCAAGGATGGCATACAATTCAGCAGTAAAAATACTAACCTTAGATAGTAAATGCCCTCGTACGACGCTGTCCGGAAACACTGCTGCGAATTCTAAGCCATCAGAAGACTTAGAGCCATCTGTGTATACAGCAATGGCATGAGAATGAGAGTGAAAGTGGTCAAGAAAAAGAGAGCGGGAAGCGACCGTAGACAGTTGGGCTTTCGAGCAAGGGAGAGAGAAAGAACAGACTCGAACAGCTGGAACTTCCCAGGGGGATAGGGAAAAGTGATATGCTACATGAACATAGAAAGGTGGTAATTGAAGTGAGTGAACATAGGTGTATGCACATGTTGACACAATATGTACATTTTAACCTAGGACAACTCAACAAAGTCTAGCATGAGGGATTTCCATGTGCTTAGGTTAAGCAGCCGTTTTACTGTAAAAAAAAGTCACCAAAGAATTTTATTCAGATTATTAACCTGGAGAGCTAGTAACACAAGAAAGTTAATCAGTGTGGCAGGGATTATTTCCAATGGGGGCCTTTGTCCCTCTTCCCCAGGATGTAGACCTAGACTACTGTTAGATGATCAGAGGCAACAGGTGCAAGGAAACATGCTTATTTTCATTATCTGGGACTGAACCCAAAGTCCTTTAGATGCGAGTCAAAGGTGCCATCACTTGATCCATGAGCCACTGTAGTTCTCATGGTACTGTGAAATATCACCCGACCATCATTACTATTATTATTACTGTATTATTTTAAGGGGATGTATTAAACTTTTCAAGAACAAAGTGAATGACGAATGGGTAATCATGTTCAATTCAATGAAGTTAAGGATAGTTTCAATTCCTTGGATTAAAAACCCCTCAACAGCATCCAGGCACCTCCACTGAGGGGCCAATTTACCAACTATTATATTCATGAAGTGTTAAACCTTTATGGTCATCCAGTACATGTTGAATGGGTGTCATGGTGATACTGTCTTTAGAGAATAAGACAAGTGTTTAAGATATTACTCATATGATGGCCCACTAACTGGAGCTTTTGGTCATATGACTGAGGGCTTCTGCTGGCTTATCAGTTCACCTCATAAAAAAATTAAGGATTATCACATTAGGATGCAAGGATAGGTTCTCCACATCAAATAAGTGGTACATCAGAGTAGTGTCTTAGGATATCTTAAAGGGGATGGTAGGGGAAAATGAGTTTATTAAACTCCCAATTAACATTACTGGGGCGAGAACTTTAAATATAGGTTAGACAGGTTATGAGTGGGTGTGGTTGGGGGTCAACTGGAACTATCTAGCATGGACCAATAGGACTACTGCAGTGTTCCTTCATTCTTATGTTGTCAGGTTTGATCCAAAGTATGAGGGGCACTCCAGATCCTTTTATCAAGAGCCTTTCATTAGCATCATGAGAGTATTTTCCCCCCCTTTTCAATTAAAGGTTAAAACTTACCAGCTTTGGATACTGCATTTTTTTTTTATTCTGAAATAAGATATGAGAGAAGATTTTGCTCATATTTTTAACCCCGGAGGGTTAGCCACCCAGGATAACCCAAGAAGGACTGTGTCTTATTTCCATTGGGGTCCTCAATCTTGTTCCCCAGGATGCAACCCACACCAGATGACTAACACCCAGGTGCCTACTTGCAGCTAGGCGAACAGGACAGCAAGTGTAAGGAAGCATGCCCAATGTTTCCACCCTTACAGGGAATCAAACCACAGACACTCAACATATCAAGTGAGAGCTTTGCCTACCATGCCACGGGTCACCATAACAGGATCATATATGTAGTCAGACTTTATTACCTGGAATTATTTGCATATCAACATGCAGAGTAAATGTAATTTAGGATAATACAAAATTTTATTTAATACATACTACTAAATTCTTTGTACTACTGTGTAAAATTTTATTCATAACTACTATTCACTGGAGCCACTTTATGTCAATAGGTGGTCTTAAGTTACAGTCTCAGCCTATTTGTAAGCTGACACATTGAGTTGACAAATTTCAATAATTTCTTGGGGAAACACTAAACCTGTAAGGGTAAATGCCTAGGAAATGGGAGGTAATTAGGTCTGATCGATGAAAGGTGAGGATAATTTCAATCCCTTGGTTTGAGAGTTCAATACTAATACACTATCACTAAAATAATAGTGAAGCAGCAACCCACTGTGTCACTATCATAATAGAGAAGTGTAGAATGCTACTCAGCAGAATTAAGCAATAAAATATAGTTTAAATTATGGATGGGATTATACCAAAATTTACCGATACCATCAAAATTAGCCGATATTCACCAATACAACCAAAATTATCCGATACTAATATTGACACCAAAAATAAGCCGATACCAATATCGGTAACATCAGTATAGTCTTGATACTGGCTCTGGCATATCCCTAGCTTATATTGTACATCAAGAATATTATGTTGGGCAAATGGAAATTATTATTACAATCATAACTAAGCACTAAACCCACAAGGGCCATACAGTGCTGTGGGCAAACAGTAAGAAACATAACCAAACTTAACAAAACCCAACCTAAAATAACATGACATAACTTAACCTTACTCCACCATCGGTTTTTCCGTCAGTTGCATCTTGGTTAACGTCGCTGCGATTAACTAGGCCTCAACCCATTATTATTTCCCTTAATTCCTCCCCAAAGCAACAATTTGCCCAAGAAATAACTGTTCATGACGGAGAATAAATAACCTGGAGTACCTAAGACATAAATGTCTGACTGCCGACAAGGAACCAATTAATTATTAAACTGTTTTTCACTATCAATGAACATTTATTAGAGGTAAAAATTCCCCTCTATATAACATGGGAGTCTCTGCTATGTCGAGGTCACACATGTCAACCTTACACAAAACATCAAATATTGTGGATAATAAGCCTAGAATAACTAAATATATTGCCATTTTGGAACATTGTGTGGATACTTGTAGTCAACAGACGTGTTCAGCCTGGGCCTAGAGATGCCCCAACACACCTGTAGTTTATCAGAGTTGGTGGGTAGGGTAGAATTTTCAACTTCTTCACGTAGTTTGAGGCATGTGTCGAAGAGAGCAGCCAGCGTCACCTCCTCCTGCCCCGCCATCCTCGCCACTAACATCATGATGCTTCTTGCTTTAACTTAGTCTCTGTATAGCCCTTGTGGCTTAGCGCTTCTTTTTGATTATAATAATAATTTAACTTAGTTTATTTATTTATTTATTAATTTGAACATGATACAGTGAAGTACAAAGGAATACAGTTATTACAGTGCAACATGCCAAAGCCCCTTGTATGCAGAACATTATGGGCAGGCTTAAAATTAACTTAAGATTAACTAAGCAATGATATATTCAGTGGTAAAAACATTATTGTAAACAGATAACAACTGAAGATTAAGATGTTCATTTTGACTAATTACATGGCTGTACAGAGGAATATAATAGTTGGGTGTATATGCCATGGTAATGTTTGTCAGGAATATCAGGACATTGTCAGGAAACAGGACAAATGTTATAATAATATTATTATTATTTTTATCAGAAAGTGCTAAACCACAAGGGTTATACAGCTATAATTATGTGTGATAATCATGGAGGAGCGCTAAACCCATAGGATTATACAGCGCATCTGGAGGGGATGGAAGGTATTCAGGCTCAATTCAGGGAACCGGAGTGCAGATCCAATTTCCCAGATCAAGAGCCCCTCACCATCGTCAAGGAACATCCTTTGAGGGGCCCAGGACAAGTGTTTCCTGACGCGGGTCTTAGTCATATGATGACCCACAGTTGGAGCTTCTGGTCATCTGACCGAGGCCTTCCTCTGGCTTATCCCTCCACCACTTTAAAAAATAAGTTATCGCATATATTTTAACACATGATGGTCACGTTACCTGAAGTTATAAATAAGTTTATTTAGGTACAGTTACACAAATTATCATAACCCAAAGTCAGAAAAAGTGACTAATTTCCATTGAGGTTCTTGTAATATCCTTTTATTTAAACTCAAAAGTTAAAACAGGTTGTTAGTACAGTTTTTGATACATACATTTTTTATAATGGTGTTGAGGGCACACAGTCACATGAGAATGGGCACATTAAACGTATAATTAGTACATTTTTACCTACGATAACCCAATAAAGTTAATGTGATCTACTGTAATTAATAGCTAGACTTTAATAATAAGATATTATAAGGACCCCATTGAAATAACTCATTTTCTGACTTTTTTTGGGGGGGGTAATTCTAGGTAATTTACGTATTGTTACTATTTTTTTTTATTATTTTATGATAATTGTACTTATGTGTACCTGTACCTAAATAAACTTAATTATTAATAACAATTATATCTCTGCATTTTTAGAATTTATTAAGTAGTAAAATTTGCCGAGGTAATATTAATTATAAAAATGGATTATGTTCATAGCAAGTTCGTAATATGTAAAGTAAAAGGACACAAGTGCAACTAATGTGACATTTATTGTGGCAACGTTTCGCTCTCCAGGAGCTTTATCAAGCCATTACAAACAATACATGGACACAGAGGGTATATAAAGGCTCAGAGTGAGGTGAATACTAGTGAGGTACCATTTCGATGTTCACTAGTGGTAGTAGTAGTAGTAGAAGTAGTAGTAGTAGTGGTAGTGACAAAAGTAATACAATATGGTAGAGCAATTAATTCGTACATGAGTAAAAGGATATAAAAGCTATTACTTGGGTAACATAAAAATAGGTTGGACAAATATAAACTGGAATGAGGCAGCTTGTTTCAGTGTTCACTCTCTGTGCTTTGTGTAGTATAACAGGAGAGACTATGTGATGGCAGGGTTTACTGTTTTCAGGAGGATTCTTGCTAAGACTTCGGAGATGGTGAAGCTGCCGTTGTTTTGTTTAATTGTATTCGAAACAGCGATCAGTGCTGATTCAAGGCACTTGCGTGTGCGGAAATTAGTTTCTTTTATCACTAATTGGGCGTCTCTGAATTTCATAAGATGATTGGTGGAATTTCGGTGTTGTACACAGGCGTTGTTTAAGTTGTCGTTCCTACATGCGTATATGTGTTCATTGAGGCGGGTGTCGAGGTTTCTTGCTGTTTCACCTACGTAGATCTTGTCACAGCCTCCACAGGGTATAGTGTAAACTCCTGCATTGACTGGTTCGTGGTGCTTGGGTTTTGTCCTGGTTAGATCCTTTATTGAAGTGGTAGAAGCGATGGCGACTCTGGTGTTAGCTTGTGAAAGTACTTTTGAGACGTTTGAGTGCAACCTGGCTGTTGGGAAGAATTATAACTTTGTTGGGAGGGTGTTGATGCGTGGAGAATTGATGATCTGAAGAGCTCTTTTCTTGCAGTCTTTGATGAAAAAAGAAGGAAATTGTAACTCAGTGAATGTTTGGTGAATGTAAGTACATTCCTCGTCAAGAAACTCAGGACTACAAATTCGGTATGCTCTTAGGAAAAACCCGATGATGATGCCTCTTTTGGTCTTGGTATCTTGACTGGAATAGAAGTGTGTGAGATCATTTTTATTGGTGGGTTTCCGATAAACTTGAAATCTTAGGTTGTTGTCTACTTTGTGAATGAGGACGTCGAGGAAAGGTAGCTTGTCATTGGACTCTCTTCTAGTGTAAACTGAATCGCTGGTTCAACTGCGTTGAGCCTTGCCTGAAGATCCCGTACATCAAAACGTTTTGGAGTTGTTACGAGGACATCGTCCACGTAACGTAACCAAGTGAGGATTGGCGAAGTGTTCGGACTCTAGGTGTTCCATGTATAAGTTGGCTAGGACGGCACTTATTGGGGACCCCATTCCCATGCCGTAGGTTTGTTTGTAGAGCTTGTTATTGAAAGAAAAACAGTTGAAGTTAACACAGAGTTCAATCAAGTCAACAAAATCTCCGGGAGGTAAAGGAAGATTAAGGCTTGATAAAGCTCCTGGAGAGCGAAACGTTGCCACAATAAATGTCACATTAGTTGCACTTGTGTCCTTTTACTTTACATATTGTCGGTAATTCTACCAACTTTATTACAAGTTCGTAATAAATAGGCTTTCATTTAGGCTTCATTACACGTTTATTTTTTTACATTGGTCTTCTATAGTAGATTACGACATATTTAAATTGTGATGTATTTAAATTGGGAAACTAATGCATTTCAATGGATATTTCGCAATAAATGATTTTGTTGTTAGTTCACTGTTATAAATTCTTGTATAACAAACAAAGTAACACTGTAAATCACAAGAAGACATATATACATCAGCATTATGTATATAAATCATTAAAAGAAGTATTTTGATGTTAGTTCTACACAGGGATGTCAGGTTGTGCAATAATTGACTTACTCTTGTTACTTCTTCACAACTTAATATTGATCTGTGTTAATGGCGACATTTTACGCCAGTTAAAAATACACTTGAGCTACCTTTTACATAACTGCTCCATTTATTTAACCCCTCAAGGAAGGTTCCTTGATGTTGGTGAGGGGTTCTTGATTTAGGGAATTGGATCTGTGCTCCAGTTCCCCAAATTAAGCCTGAATGCCTTCCACATCCCCCCCAGGCGCTGTATAATCCTCCGGGTTTAGCGCTTCCCCTTGATTATAATAATAATAAATCCATTTATTTAAATAATTCCGCTAATTTTGATTTCTGACATAAAGGACATGACTGTATAATGTGAGCATTCTCCTAATTTACTGATATTAAAACTGATCCCCATAGGAAATAAGTCATAGGGTTATCCTAGATAATTTGTACTATGTATAATAATTGTACTATGTGTGCATGTACTCTAAATAAGCTTACTATGCCTCTCACACGATATTTATTGTCTGATTTTCCATTAGATTTAATAGACTGACAGACTGAGACAGATTCTGTATTTCAAATTACTCAAAGGTATTTAGATACACGTAAATACACAATTACCTGAGATAACATGTAATGTTGTGCATGCTATAAGAACATAAGAAAGAGGCACTGCTCCTTACTTTCTTACTTACTTACTTATTATTTATTTACTTACTTACTTTACTTACTTACTTACTTACTTACTTACTTACTTACTTACTTACTTACTTACTTACTTACTTACTTACTTACTTTCTTACTTACTTGACTCTTCTTAATTATTCTTATGTTATAGGATGCACAGCATTTCAGGTTATCCCAGGTAACTGTGTATGACATTTAAACTCATTTAAATGTGTGTAACTGTACTTACGTGTACCTGTACTAAAATAAACTAATTTACTTAATTTATTTTCAACGGGAAAAAAAATCATTCACTTAGAGTTTTGTGGTGGGTTATCTAGGTAATACAGAGAGAGAGAGAAAGAGAGAGAGAGAAAGAGAGAGAGAGAGATAGGCTCGGAAGAGCTGGCTGGATGGTGGTACTCCTCTCTTTTCACTATTATTGTGAAGTTATCATGGCTGAGGTTCAGTGCAGCACTGATACAACTGAGGAAGATGCTACCGAACTCCAGTTCCCAAAAGGTATGACATAGGGAGTCTGGAAGTAACGTTATTTTGGGTCAGTTATATACCCTGCCTCTCCCTCTGTCTGTTAACGTATAATTTTGAGTGATTACAATTCTTACACGGTAACATATATGTAAATTACCCCAGGATGACCCCCCTAAAAATGAAGTCGTGACTTATTTCCCGTTGGAAATCAAAAATATGGAAATAAATCAAGGACCCCAGTGGAAATAAGTCACTTTGGCCTTTTTTTGGGGGGGTTATCCTAGGTAATCCAACACGTGCTGCTATGTATGATAATTTATGTATCTGTATTTATGTGTACCTATACCTGAATAAACTTACAATATGCCCATGCAATCTTTACCACAGAATAATCATTATTTTGGGGGCATATTGTTATTTGGGGAGATATAGCGAAAATAACTTTTTTTTTCACTTGAACGGAACGCCTGAGCCAATCTTCTTGTTAATTAAGTTTATTTAGGTACAGTTATACAGTTTTTGGATGATCACTGAGGACCAGTGGAAGAAGAATGAAACCGTTCTCTAAGGCGAAGAATATTGAAGTCTGGCAGAAAGTCCTCAGCTTTACGAAAGGAGGATGAAAGATTTTCAGGTTAGAGCTTACTTGCTGATTGCAAACTCCTATTTTAAATCTACTGTAATATTTCCTTCAAGTACAGTAGTCATGCCATATTTATAAATAGTAAGCGTTGGTATCTTGTAATGTTTACCCTTGTAGGTTCAGCACTTTTTGATTATAATGATAATTGTAATGGCTAACATAGGCACATAGCTACAAGTAATTAAACTCTGCACACTTTTGTTTGGTTGTAATTATACTCTTGACAGATGAACATTCACTTTCACAAGTATTTGGGCTGGGGAAAGGTGTAAGAATCATATTCTCTCTCTCTTGTGGTGTAGAACTACTGTACACGGGATAAGGAATTTTTGTATTGTAGTCTGCTTCTAAACAAATTCTAAATAATCTTTGTGAAAATATATTTTCCAGTTACTGTACATAATTAATTTTAAGCACTCTGGAGGCATATTTAATGCAATAAGAAGTTAGTATTTCAAGACATGAGATACATGAATTAACTTTTGTTATATTTATAATAAAGTATTGTTACAGCATAAGTAAAATTTACTATTTTGATGTATTCCAGGCTTTGATGCTTTGTTGGAAGTTGGTATGGAGACTGGTGGGCTACTGGATTCAATTGCCGACCCTTTTGTTAAATGCAAGCACTGTCATGGTGTTGCTAAGGAACCTTATATAAAGTGTATGCAGTGTGAAAAGTCAGTGAATAGTAATTATGTTGTTATATGTATACGATGTTTCAGTAAAGGAGCAGAATTTGGTGTGCACAAAAATGACCATTCCTATATGGTTATTAGAACTGACTTTAGTCTACTTGATCCTAGTTGGCAAGCTAAGGAGGAAATTATGCTGATAAATGCAATAAATGATTGTGGTATTGGTAACTGGCCTGACATAAGCTTTCGTGTTCCAGGCAAATCTGCAGAACAATGTAAAGCTCATTACACAAAATATTATATTGAAAATGCCCATCCAGAATTGCCTCAGGTAGTATGTAGAGAATCATTACAGACAGTCGTTCCACAACCTGTTACATACATAGGAGGTATAGATGATCCTCCCCGACCCATCCCAGGAACAACTGCATGTCGTGATATGGCTGGATATAATGCTGCTCGGGGAGACTTTGATGTTGAGTATGACAACAATGCTGAAGTAGACATACAAGATTTAGATTTCATGTTATTTGAAGAAGATGAAAAACCTTCTCTGGGTTTAGAGCTACAAATTGCCCTGCTGGATATATACCGAAGGAGACTGGGAGAGCGGTACAAGCGAAAGAAGCTTGTCAGAGATCATGGTCTGATTGCAATGAACAAATCAATGGCGTCTCTCAATCGTTATCGGCCTTATGTTCCACAGAACTTTGCTGACGCTCTTCCAAAATTTTTTAGCATTGTAACTTCGCTGGAAATTGACTTAATTTTAGAAGGCTTGAAATGTGAATCTGAAGTGAAACAGCAGATTGGTGACTTAATGGAGTATATTTCCAATGGTATTTCAAAACAAACAAGTATAATGACATATGAAACCCTGAAAAGAAAACGTGAAGCAAATATTAGAGAAAAGCGCAATCTTGTGGTTTCAGAAAATGATGGCGTAGACATAAAGTGGAATGTTGTCACGAAAAATATTGCTAATCTAGAATCAACCATTCCAGGAGCTTCACGAAGAGTCAGCATACCTCTGAACATTGCAGGAAAGCCAGGTTATGATAATCTCAATGATACTGAGAAACAAATTGCTTCTGAGCTTCGTTTACTGCCTGAAGATTTTCTTCGGTTTAAATCAGCATTTATTGATGAGTGTCGAAAGTTGGATGGTCTAAGATTAGCACAGGCTAGGACACTAATCAAAATAGATGTTAATAAGATAAGAAAAATATTTGATTATTTGTTGTCTGTTGGCCTCATTTATACTCCAAAAAAATAGCATATTGTATTATAGAAGGATATTGTAAGTTAAAACAGTTAGTAATTAGCATTTAGAGTAAGAGGTCCTACTGTAATACAAAAAAATAGTTTAATGTCGCTCTCACAAGGAAAACAGTTGCAACCTAGGTTTTGGATGTACTACTACTAAGAGCAACATCTCCAGACACTACATTGTTTTCCAATGCAATATGAATACAGCTGTATTTGAAATCAAGTATTTTACAGTGGTAGTACTGTATTGAAGTAGGTACTGTACTAAGTTATAGTATGGTGTACAATATTAAAATGTCACATTGACAGTATTACACAGTCCTTCACATAGTGATGTTTATTATGTTTTTACAGTCCTATATTATCATGGCTAGTTAAGAGTATTGTAAGTAATGGGAAGATACCATCAATTAGTTGAGAAATACAATGGTGATATAGTATTGTACTGTTGTATTTACAAATACAATATAATCTTTTACTTTCATTGTTCATTGTGCAGAAATACCAAAGAAATGGAATATGTATATTAAGTTTATTACATAGTGTTTTATATTTTTGTACAGGGGCTTAAGAAAAATTGCTGTATGTAATAGTGTGTCAATAAAAACTGTTCTGAATTTTTATTTTATTATACATGTTATATGAAAATTTTTATATTTCAACTTTAACCATTGCATTTGAGAATGAACTGTCTTCAATTTATCACAACTTGATACATAAAAACTGGGATTACTTGTTTGTACATAATACAACCTTATAGGATTCATGCTTAATTATGTGCTTGTTTTGCATACTGTACATATTACCATGCATGTTAAGTGAGAGTCAACCTGTGTGTAATATAAACACATTACATTACATCAATACAGTGCTTAAATATGTTTAGTGAATCATTTAACAATTACCACCCATTACAATACTCTTGATAAATCACTTTAAGAGTCCATACCTTCTCAGACATGTACCAAAGAGCCAGGATTGCTCCAGGCCATCAAAATGATCTCTCCAACATTACCATAGTTGCCCAGTGCCACGTTTAATTAAGACAGCTGTCAAGCTATGCTGATAGCCCAACAGTATGCTGACTTCATTTTAGATGTCTCAAATTCAGTGCCCTGGCATGCTTAGTTTATTTCCAATAGTCCCACCTTTAATGCTTCTCTTTTCCCTACTTGACACTGCATTATAGTGGTGGAGTTTTAGCAGCTTGTGCACAGGAAAAAACTGTGCTGCTTCAGGATGAGTGCCATTCTTCCTGCAGGGTACTTGTTTGACTTTAGAATTCAGGATCTTTGTGATTTATGGCCGATGACTGAATGGATATGGTTTGTGGAATGTGCATAACTTTTTTTTTTAACAAGTCGGCCGTCTCCCACTGAAGCAGGGTGACCCAAAAAGAAAGAAAAAATCCCCAAAAAGAAAATACTTTCATCATCATTCAACACTTTCACCTCACTCACACATAATCACTGTTTTTGCAGAGGTGCTCAGAATACACAGTTTAGAAGTGTATGTGTATAAAGATACACAACATATCCCTCCAAACTGCCAATATCCCAAACCCCTCCTTTAAAGTGCAGGCATTGTACTTCCTATTTCCAGAACTCCAGTAACATACATACATAACATACTTAGAATTATTAACATACTTAGTATTATTTTGTTTGTGTGCTGATTTATGTAAATCTCGCAAGAATGTGTTGGTAATGATGACTTGCATGTTCTTAACAATGTCGACAACTTTCATATTGATAATGATGGATAAAGAATTGGACCTAGTAATTTGTAAATTAAACAAAGCAAACCTTTAATGTCTATTCTCTTTCAAATGACATACTGTACATTCACCCAACCCATCCAAAAAAGTATAAAAATGAGTAGGCATTATTTCAAAGATTTCCCATGTTACCATACCTCAGTACACATTTGATTATGTTATGCTATACACTAAGGCTATCCATATTTTATGAATGTGGATCTACAGCAGCAAACTAATTGAAATTAATAATCATACATCAAAAGTCTTTCTTAAGACCCATATTACACTAGATTTAGACAGTAATCCCTTCCTTTTTCATACCAAACCTACTGAGCGTGCATGCCATTTATGCTGACTATTATAACTTCTCTACAGGATCCTAAATAATAATGCAAGACTTGTGTCAGTATTTTTTTGCTTAGGTTCAGTAAAAATTTGTCAAGAAACAGGACAGATGCCTCCTGACCTGTTACTGAAGGTTAGGTCATCTGACCGAAGTTTTTCTCAGGCTTATTGGTCTACTACTTTAAAAACTAAGGAAAAACTCCTTTTTGTATACAGTTTATACATATTTAATTTTTTGCTACATAAATATTGCTTTAAACTAATTTTTACCAAAGTTTGTCCCACAAGGTAAGTTCTTTGGTACTGCTGGAGGGCTCTTGTTCCAAAGGAATTGGACTAGTTTTTCCCATCTCTTCCTTGGATTGAACCTGATTGCCTCCTATTCTCTAGGTGCTGAATGACTCCTCCAGGGTTAGTGTGCCTGCACTCTTCATGAAGGAGGGGTGGGGATATTTGCAGTTTGGAGAGACATCTGAGCTGTAGTACTGACACACCTCTGGCAAGACGGTGATGGAATGAATGATAGTGAAAGTGTTTCTTCAGGTCACCCTACCTTGGTGGGAGACTGCCAGTATGTTAAAAAAAAAATAATTGTTGGTACTAAAGTTCACATGCTGACATGGTCACTCTGGCAAAAGACTTTTCATAAAAATGACTGTAGGTCCTTAAAAGAAAACATAGCTAAGGGGAATGACAGTTGATGAAGACTGCAATGTGGAAAAGTGCTACAAACTGAAAATGAAAGAAAAAACAGGTTAGAATGTAAGCTTCATGATATTCACAAAGAAATTAAAAAAAACTGGTTAACCCGTAAACGGTCCAAGCAGATCTACGTTCACATGTGTAGTGCTACAAAAGTAGATCTAAGTTTTTTTTCATATTTTCAAATATAACAAAAAAAAAAGATCAAAGTTTTTTTACACATTTTCAAATGTAGAAAAACAAAAAGTAGATCTACTTTTTTTACACACTTTCAAATGTTGAAAAAACGTACATATACGTTTGGACCGTTTACGGGTTAATGGCACTTAAGTGTCCTGGAGGTGGGGGGTACAGTTCCTACGCTAAAATAAAAGGTGAGGATGTTGCAATTCAGAGGGGTCATTTTGGAATGTGACGTCTGTGCATGTCTTGCAATATAGCTATTGAATGAATGTTGGTGGATGTATTTGTAGGCATGTGAGATGGCCCTTCCAGGGCCATCCTCCTCTGGTGAAAAATGGCTATGGTAAAACAAATAGTTTTAGCAGAATGGCACAAGGCACTTGTAATACTTGTAGGCAATACTGTATTGGCAAACCTTAATACAGTATATTGTAGCTTTCAATTACTATATTGTACTTGGATGGTGAAATGCTAAAAGAAATTGTACAGGTCAAAAATTTGAATGTGTCAATGGTACAAAAGAAAAAAATAGTAAAGGTCCAGAGATGTGCTGTAATAGTTTCTAGGTTTATTTATTAGGAGTTAATTTAACAGACTTATCAAAACTGTAAATGGAAAAAATACAGCAAGGGTTTACTGTACACACACAAACATTTGTGTACAATTCTCGTCTGAATGCAGTGACTGACGAGTGTATTGAAGCATATTTAATAAGAGGCACCTAATATACACCTACACATTTGTATGTCAGTTTGTATAAAGGTTATTCAAATTCCAGAGTTCGAAAAGGCTGAGACCCTGCTGATCTCGGAAGTTCAGATGTTGCTTGAACATCGTAAGCAAACTAACGAAAATGCAGAGGAAGAACAGGAATTGAATGAGGTAAAAATAAAATTAAATTTCATACACACTTTAATGAGTTTTTCTTATAATTGATACTGTAAGTAAATATTTAGCAGAGTTGAAGTCAAGCTAATTGTCTTAATCATAAACATAGATGTTGTAATGTACCATACCTAGTCATATATCTTCATATACAGTATATATGATGGTAGTAGTACTGTATCAGTGTGCATTTATAAGTAGTCGCCCCTTTGTATTTACGAGAACTGGAGTTTTGATCATGGTGTTTCATATTCCTTAATTTGTTATATGAAGCCTTTCTATTATCTTTAACCCTTTCAGGGTTTCGGCCGTACTAGTACGGCTTACGCGCCAGGGTTTTTGATGTACTAGTACGCATAAATTCTAGCACCCTCAAATCTAGTGAGAGAAAGCTGGTAGGCCTACATATGAAAGAATGGGTCTATGTGGTCAGTGTGCGTGGTATAAAAAAAATCATGCAGTACACAGTGCGTAATGAGAAAAAAAAAACTTTGACCATGTTTTTGGACTAAAACAGCGACTTTGCACTGTATTTTCGTATGGTATTTATTGTTGTGTTCTAGTTTTCCTGGTCTCATTTTATAGAATGGAAGACATGTTACAGAAATTGAGATGATTTTGACTGGTTTTACAAAGAAAAGTACCTTGAAATTGAGCTCAAAGTAGCAGAAATGTTCAATTTTTACCAAAGTTCAAAAGTAAACAAATCATGCTATGCGTCCAATACACGTCAACTGGTGAGTCTAATATTCTTTCACAAGTGCGCTGATGTTATTTATACCATTTCTACACCAATGCAGTAGTCTGCATAACAGTAAATTTTCTATTTTTTTGTGAGAATAAAAATTCAAAGTGGAAAGCAAAGAATGTAAGAGGGGCATGGGGACGTGACTAATGAACAGAGGAAAAGATATTTTAGTGGCAGGAATATCTTTCCTGTTTATTCTAAACCCTATTTGGAAATTGGCATCTTTTGAAATTTGTGTGAAATTGCTAAATTCTGACCACTGTATTGGATAGTTGAAATCGGTAAATGGGAGGTTTCTTGTACTCATTCGACAGAAAAAATGGAGTTCTAGTGAAATAGTTATGATTTTTGTCGACAAGTACACTGGAATTGGCTGAAAATAGGGCTCAAAGTGGGCAAAATCACCGCTGCGTAAACATCGTCGAGACCGCCAACTTCATGAGAGCATAATTCCATAAGTTTTCCACCAAATTTCATACTTTTGTTGTCAATATGATCAGAAAAAGATTATCTATCTTTTCATGAGACAAAATCATTTTTTTTTTTTTTTTTTGAAATTTGGCCGACCCTGAGAACAAGTTTCTGAGAGGGCCTGTCGACCCTGAAAGGGTTAACACATTTTTTCAAAGTTTGCAATTGTTGCCTTTTGTTTTACTGTTTGTTAGTGACATAGTCTTATTGTTGGGTGCCCATTGGGCTGATATCATTTTTATGCTGATAATACACAGGTTTGTATCCAGATTCTAAATGCTGAAGATGCAAATGTTTTCTTTAGCTAGATATTTCAACTTGGATGACGTTAAAACAACCAATCTAAATAAATGAAAATAAGTCAAATTTTGTCAAGAAAAATCTCAGGGAGTAGTGTGGAGATCTTAGTGCTTTTCATTGTGGTTCTATCGGTTTGCAGCCTGTGAAATAAGGGAGAGATCTGGGTATATACCTGGATTCTTCATTGTCATTTGTTGGACACATCCACTTAATTGTTAAATCTG